GAGGAGTGCCTCTAGCAATGTTTATCTTTTAAGTCCTCTGCCAGCATTCTAACATATCTAACTCCTTTATTTGGTGCCAGTTTGAATCAATACATTGATTTTAAAAAGTTATTTTAACCTCAAGAGCTGCTAACAATATTTCATCATGAGACATACAGTTTGAATGCTCTCTGTGCTGCAGGGGATATTGAATCAAAACATTTTTCGCCAAATTTTATCACAGTTCCTTCAGTATCAGCCACTCTTGCTTTCATGTGATGAAATCATTAAATCCATATTCATGTTCAGGTACACTACTATTCACAAGAACACTATTAAAATCTCAATTTTTTTTAAACTAATCTGTGCTTCTTATTTTAATCACAAATACTGTATACTGGCACAAGCTAAGAGAAGTCAGAATAGCATGTAATCACCTGACAGAACAGAGAGAAATTAAATGAGATTCAAAGATTTATTTCACGTAATAGCTGAAATAACACTAATTCTATGGAAAAAAACCCACATTGAAATACATGATGTATTCCATGAAGGAAGTGCTTTACAGTTAAGCAATGGATTAATGTTATGTCCACTGTGAAACAGCTCTGTACTAAATGCTATACAGATAAGACACAAAAAGGTTAAAGAGACTTACTAAAGGTCTTAGGCATAAACTTCCATGAAATATCTCACATCTACTGCTAATAATAGTAACCAAATGCTCGATAGCGTTTGCAGAGCTGAATCTTAAAGTTATCTGACTCCAGAATCAGAACTGTTTCTAGAGCTACGAGACATTATCAGACTCGTTCTGATTATAATCGGGTCATTATACATGGTTAATATGCATTAGCAACTAATGCCCGTTCAACCATTGTATCTTTAACTCTTACATTAGGCTAAACTATAATTTTGCTATTGAAAGCTCCTTCTCCATAGCAAATTATTTCTGTTGAGGCTATGGATATGAGTAATAACCAGCTTCTTTAAGTTAGGTCCTCCAGCTTCACCACGCAAAGAAGCGCTTTCAGAATATATCAGATTGAGGTCGTTTAGCTTTAAAATTTGTCACTACCCCAAATTTCAATCCTAAGTATACTGGAATATTTATACTCAAACCTGCATGTTTTGCAGCATAAATGCTGTAACATACTGGTCCTACTTAAGGCATTATGGTTCTACCTAATTCAACGGCAAACTTCTCATTTCAGGGTATGAGAACTGGCCGTGATGATTACCCGGCGGATAAAAGGTAAATCTCTGTCTCTTTCCCGTATCAGACTAGCATGTGACAGAAGTGCTCTTCCAATGGACAGGTCTGTCCAAGGTCAGCTGTTCTGTTGCCCAAAGGTCTGGCAGATCAGCTAATAAGAAAATATTGCTGAGAACTACTCTGAAAAGCCAGTAATTCTGTATGTAGCTCAGGATTGTATAACAGAGTCTAAACCTCAATTGTAGTATGTAGGTTTTTGCTTTAACATAGACTGATTAATTCACTACTAAGAGTTATTAAGAGGTATAATTTAGGCTGTGTAGTACCAGAACTGGACAACTTCCTTTCCAAACATCCCCCCAAAAGGACAAGCTGTTCCCTGGGGAATTTCTGATCGGCCTTATGGCTGTACTGGCAGTAGCTCATTTTGGCTCACTAGAAACACCTGCTGAAGTAACAGGCCATACCCAAACTGGCTGTTGCAGTACTCTCTCACAGCAAACTTTGCTCACCATATAACATCCTTTTCCCTGTAAACTGTGCCACACATTGCGTGCTTACGCTTTTCCTCTGAAAGCTCAAGCACCTGGCAGGGAGGAAGAGGAGTTCATCTCTTCTGGCTGCTCTTCCTTTGGGCCCCATTTGCGTGAGGCCTGTCCCAGGAAATCAGCTGCTATTCCTTTTACAACATGCCTTTTTCCTCCCTCCATCTTTAAGAAACGGAAAATTTAAAGGATTCGTAGCACAAACTGGTGGGGAGAGAGGGCGTGAAGAAAGAGTAAGTTTGAAAATAGCACTGCATGAAATTAATTCAACAAAAGGAGAACACTCAAAAAAGGTAACGTAAGCAGTAGAAAACAGAAAGGATGTCGAAGGTTTCTGAGGCATACATAGATAAATAGCACAGCTCACTAGATACACAAAAGGTCTATGAATCAGTAGTTTTTGAAAAATTTTAAGGTTACATGAAGTACGTTTAAACAACCTTTGAAAGAGCCTGCATACCTCCTTCAGACTGAATATTCTGACTACCCAGATAACGACAAAAAACTGAAAATACAATACTTAGAATTAGTAAACCTTCATAAGCTACCTTCATAGCATTCAATTCAGCAGCATCATTACAACTATGCTTTTCTGAGGGTCACAGCCTTTGTTCTCAACAGACAGCACAGTAACAACAAGCAGTGGATAAAAAAACAAAAGCAGTATGGAGAAGCATTCAAATATTTAGATATTTTGATGACTTTTAGCTGAGTTTCAATCACTTTGTGGAAGAAACTTCACATTCTTGCCTGCTTTTTTTCCAGTACCTCCTGATTTTACAGGAATCGTAAATACCTCATAGTGAAACCACACGTTCTGGATTGGGTACTGGATTAGTGCTTTTGACAAAGCAGTCAAGAGGTGTGGAGCTGTGTAAATCCACATGGAGCGTGGATGGTCTCCTGAACTGAGACGAGCAGAATATGCAGATTAAAGTGTTTCTCACTCAGAGCTGATTTATTATTTTACATTGAAGAAACCAAAAAATGTGCAAAGTGAAAGGAAATTGAGAACAACTACACTTACATACTTTACAAGAAGAAGAATGTTGCTTGTGAGCAGCTCTGATGACTATAATTGGACTAAGATTAAGATTTTTTCTTTTTTTTTTTTTTTAAGGCTCAACATTTTTGCTTGTTTCCACAAGTTTAGAGAAATCAGATCCAAGTTTTCAAGTTTCCCAGCTTTACCAGGTTTACATACTCTATAACAATCTGCTCGAATGCGGAGATTTTGAACGCTGTGCTATCTGTGAGAAATCTGTGGCTATTAATAGGCTGGAACACTTCTTCCCAAGTACCACTGAACTTGGACAAGAAATTGCCAACAAACCTTTTTCTGGTTTCAGTTTTCTGGTCCTTTAGAACACTGTCCCTTCTGTCCTGGTGCAATTATACCTGCCTTGATAAGCCAATCTGATAACGTTACAATGTAAGTAGAGAGGCTGGAGTCCTTCTAATGGAACTACAGCCTTAAGAACTCTTAACAGGGGTGGGAGTTGGTAAATTTAGCAGACTTAATCCATACCAACAGCTTTGAAACGAAAGCAGGGACGACAGCATACACTCTGGGGATAAGGAGCAGCATGGGAAAGAAAAATCTTGTCACTTTCCCATACATGCCAACAGCCCTGACTATTTTTAAGTAAAAATGTTACTATCTTTCTGTCCCGACCACTCCAAAAACGCTCATGTGGCTCAGGATGTCTTATTACAGCTTAAGGGAATTTCTCTGTTACCTGTTTTAATAAGTTGACATGCAAATCTGAGAGAAAAATTATTTTCAGTTTCTTGACTCTACAGATCGTGTAATGTGGCAACTTTCACTGGCTTGCCAAACAAACTGCATTTTCACCCATTTGCTACCAAACGTGTAGTATCTACAGAAGTACTTTAGACAGAATAATTATTTTCTTTCATGATCAAACCAGTTAGTGTTGATGAACATTACTTCACACAGCTCATCCAGATTTTTGGAAGAAACCAGGACCAATCAGAACTGATGACGAGTTCACCCTACAAGAGGTCCAGAACATCTTGGGTTTAATAGACTGTGGGCAGATTATATTGTTTTTTCACTTCGAAATTTTGAAGAGTCACGTTTTTGGTCAAATTAAGGAGTTCATATTATGGTACAGTCTGTTCCCCATAATGAACTCCCATCTACAGGCAGATGTTTCCGTAAAACTAGTTACGGCTCTGACAGAAATTAGGGAGAAGAAAGTGAAAGAAAAGAGAGAAGCAGTTCAATAATGAGCATTTTCTTTGCTTACACTTGAGCAGTAGCTGAGATGCTTAGCAGCCGCAAGTGAGATATAGCAGCTGTCAGAGTACTGAGATGTGAAACTTCCAGTGCAGCTAATGGTTCCAGTAATAAGGACATGGAGCTAGTGAGAAAGGCCTCATGAAGCTCCATTATTATTATTTGCTACGGTAATTCTCAAGACAGGTCTAAGGATGGACAAATAGGCGAAGAGAGATCAAAGGTGGGGATTTGTAAGTCCTGAATAACTGTTTTCTCCCGAGGCCACTCAGCAAAATTGAGTCCAAGAGGGAAATACAAATGTAGGCAAACTAAGAGCTTCGCGAGTGAAGGATGGGAGGTTATACCGGGGAATGGAACCATTCGCAATGCACACAAGAGAGACGTATATATGTAGAAAGTTCCACATCATCTCTAATTTGCAGCACACTACAGCTCTAAAAATAAAACACAAAATGCTACAGGGTTAATATAAATGCCCCAAGATTCTCTATTCTTTTGAAATAAGAACCCGCTTGAGAATAAACCGTACAAATGATCTTGTACTCTGAGAGCACCATCCCAGTACCATTTTATGTCAGTACAGTTTTGGCATACTTTCACATTAAAAGAATTTAAATTTTAGGCAATCAGAGGATCCTCTTTTCCACCGAGGTAAGCTTGATATATTTCACATAAACGAGCATGCTGGATTCTACGTCCTTCCAGACAAGATTAACAACGTGACAAGCACAATGACCACAGTGGAATCAACTAATAGAGAATGTCAAAGCCAGGTCATATGGACAGGGCAATGAACAGTAACGGATCTATGGCGTCTCTCATGCCAGATCAAACCAGAATTATCAGCTGCCACTTAGTTCTGATCCAAAGAGCTACTTAATGATTTTATTTTTCTGGACATCTATTTCACACTGCTCAGAGGGCCTTACCTGGAAAGACCTCCACCCAAGCTGCAGCATCTCACATAGAATATGTTCATTGAGATACAACTTACCCAAATAGTTGTTGCTCTTTGACATCTCTGTAATGTTGATTTTAGTAGCTCCTTCAGGAATTTCCACTATCTTGTGGTAGCCAAGATTTGTTAGCGTGTGTTTGAAAACTCCAGACACAACTTTGCAAGCAGTGTTGTCCCCTCCACATATTCCACATTTGTCAACCACCTTGTCTGAACCCAGATAGTCATCACAGCCAATACTCTGCAAAATAAAATACAGTTTTTTCAAGATCTTACAACAGCAAACATCTAGACATAACCAGCTGAGGACAGTATGACTTTCAGAGAACACAAAGCCTGAACACATTCTGTGAATTAAGGTATCAACAATTTCTTCCTTCGTTCTTCTACACGTAATAAAGTAATAAAAATCATCCAGGTCAGAGAATATATACATTAGGGAATGTCAAGTTAGCCTACAGGTCTGACACTTAAAAGCACTCTATGTCAAACTTCACAATATTATCAACAAAAATAAAAGAACGCAGTAGAGATCACTAGTGCATTTATCACTCCTCAGCTGAAAGCCAGGTATCTCTTAACAATGCAGCTGCTATAGCTGCTAGTCAGAAAATGAAGCAGTGCTGTGATTTTGTTATCAATCCAAAATGGGCTTTCTATACAAGTATGACTGTTTTATACATAGTGTCCTTTTAATTTCTTCCAGGAAAGAGTACAGAGCTTTCTCTCACACAAAGAGGCTTCTAAAAAGAGGAAAAGACGCAGAGGAAAAGACAGAATGAAACTTACCATACTTTAAAAGTGCATATAACGTAGAGATTAGTTCTTTTGCAGAAATATTGCTCTTTGTTACATTGCTGTTTGGTATTTACAGACTTTACATATCGCTTTTCATATACACTTATCACCTACCAGAGACATACATGCAAAAAAGAACTCTCATTCAGGTAAGAACGAAACAGAAACCTGTCACACCTTCTCTGAAATGTATTACTCTGATGTAAAGTGTTTACACTAAATGATGGACAGAACACTTGTAAACAGCTGCAAAACACTAGATTAAAAAAAAAAGGGCTAATAATTTTTTACAGTGTCTCCTGGAAGCAAAGAGCCAAGTGAAACGAATTTTCTGATACCACCAACTTGTAACATAGCGAGTGCCTTTAGCCCTGGCGTCACTCTATTTCTCTACTATTCCCAATACTGATGCTTGTCCCTTGCTGTGAAAAATGTTCTAAACTGCAAGTCAGATTCTGCTTAGTTCCAATATAAATATTTAACACCCGACATCTTTCTTATGCCTATCCAAAAAACACAGATAAAACCATCTAACTCATCACTGCCAGGATCTTGTGGGGCTCGACAATGATGCCTGTTTGTAGTCACAAAGCAAGATTGTCAAGCGCTCGGGGTCTGATAGCGGGATAAACTGATACCTAAAAATCTATTCCATCCTATTAGAGTTAGCGTGAGTAGACTGTTGCATCACTTTGAAGAAATCTTGGATACGGAGAGAAATACTTTAACATCTCGCATTTCCATTGCCTGGCAGAAATGCTAAAATCATGCATGAGTTTTATTTTAGTTTTTTGCCACAAAATGCATTTTACTTACTAAAAACGTAACAATACTTACTGAGTTACTAACATACTATAGGTACTTCTACGCAAACTTACTACGCCTACTAACTTACTAATACGTGCTAACTTACAATACTAACTAACAATGTTTGTCCTCTGGTGAAACTCAGGAATTACCACCGAGTGTCACTATACCAAATCACACAGTATGATTTTAGACCTGCCTAAAACAATGTGAAAAAATGTAGTGATCTAGATTTAAGACCACTATGACCAAGGACCGATTAATCTCTTTTCCTCCTTAAAGGGTATTTTGCTGAGAGGATTCCCACTTTCCCCACCATACTTTTTTTGGACAGAAATTTGGTGGTACTTGGAATCCTCCTGTTACTAAGTTACTAAGCTACTAAGTTACTAGGACTTTCAGGAAGTTTCCACTGCCAGCAAGTTATTTTATGGAGGAAATCCTTTCCAATACGAGGTGCTTTACAATATGAATTGCTAGCATAAATGTTTAATGGTCTTCCACATCACTATTGAGTCCCATAAACATTAATATAACTTTCTTCCTTCTAGCAAGTAGAAGAGAACACAGAAAAATGTGTTTTATTCATTGCATAAAATACAAGGCAGAATTACTACGGGGCAATCTGAATAGAACCACTTATGACAGAAGGAACACAATGAATCAGTACAAATGTGATTCCTTTGCATGGGAATAAGTATTAAACCTGTTTTAAACTCACATGTCACTCAATCAAATATTAACGGACATGCAAGAAAACTGTCATTCTTCAGATGCGGTATTTGGAATTCTGTCAATTTGGCGGTAAAATGAGTCTGTGTTGTGAAAAGTGCTCATAATGTTTAAATGCTCTTTCACAGAAGATCGAAAAAGATATAAAGAATGAATTACGGCAGACACGGACCTAATAATCTGAAATCAGTAACAGACAACAACACCGTAAGCACCATGACTAGTCAAGGTACAAAAAACCCATATGCACTATGCAGAGTGCACTCAGATACACATTTTACATACCTATAGAACAGGTATTTAGCAACGGAGTAAAATTTTACAAAAGTTCCAACTTTTTACTGGGCTTTCTGTTGAGACCTCTCTGTAAATGCCGTGCTTTACAGAGGCGTATTGCATAGGGTTCAGAGGAGAGGCCAGAACTAGTTTGTTCTGGAAAACATTGACAATTCCTTAATTTCGTTTAGGCAGGCATATAAAAAAGACTGCACAGTCTCTAATATTTCCAAACCTGGCAAGGATAGTCATTTAGCAAGTCTGTGTCCAACTGGTCAACGGGAATCTCCCTTTCCAGTTGTATTTAGCATTCATTTCTAGCAGTGACAGGCCAGGAGATATTGGACCTGACACCTGTCACTGGTCCAGGGGCTCAGCACTCAATATGCCCTGGGCCTTGCTCCAGGGTAATTTCAGGAAGATGAAAGAAACACCTTTCTGGCAAACCAATTCTGGTTTCTTTCTGCTTTTAAATAGCTGTTTGAAGCTGTTCAGAGCTCTGGAATGGTAGAGGTCATCCTGGCACAACGAGGCTGGTAAACAGAATAAACACAAATTAACCTAAAATGTACAACAAACACAACTGTATTACACAGGTCATTCAATATTTTATATTTTTTTCTAAGTTATGGCTATAAATTTAAGAAGCACCACTTCGCTGCTTGGCTAGAAAACGTAAAATTTTATTAAAAAACATGAACCAACTTATAATCTGTCTCAGGTGGTGGTATTCATTGCATTAAGCACATGTACATGCAGCAAAGCCCCTTATCGCATCACTGTGATACATCAGCAAGAACAACGTTATGGAACGAAGTATGCAAAAGGGGATCCACACCCAGTGTTCCTTCCAACATTTGCTGTGGGACCATGGATCAGTCTTAACTACGTCAAAGGATATAACGATCACAAGTTTTGCTAGATAAGCAGATAGGTCTGACATCTCAGGCACTGTTTCCTTCCACAGCTCTGAAGCTTGAGTTGTAAAGTGGGTACCAACGCACTGAGACCCAACTCAGCAACTTCTTACACTGTCCCAGCGGTGAAAGGAGGCCTCTGTCAATGAAGAACTGCTAGTTCAGGTTTTCATCATGCAAAAGATATTTCAGTAATCCAAAAGGAGATGTCACTTTTTGAGCCAAACTACACGTAACATCCCTACTAGAGATGTAAAAGTAGCCGGACTGTGAATAAGAAAAGTGAGCATATACAAAGGTAAATGCATCCTGCCCACAAAACAGGATTTCGCACTGGATGTGACAGTCATGCCTACTTTTTGGACAGGACCATTGCAAGCTGTTCTTTGGCTATCAGTAAGAGGAGGACTAGAACATATCTGTCCCCTTAAAACAATTTTTTGCTTTTTTTTTTCTTTCTCAGAAGCATTGCTGCCTTCAAATTTTAGTACCGTAAACCAAGCATTTTCTGTATTGTTCAAATAATTTTTGCAATATGGTTCAAGAAATCCTTTTTAAGTTACAGTTTAGCATGAAAGACACTGGTCAAGAATTACAGCCAACTGTGTGCCAAAATTAATTTAAATGAAATCCCTTGAGAGAAACAAGGGACAATCTGGATGAAATATTCGGGGTGGACTTAACAGGGATTTAGGACTATGTATACAACAAAATGGGGCTGGTGCCAGGCATTTGAAGAGATGAAGTGCTGATTCTTGAAATGGAAAACAGATGTTACAATTTCAGTACTAAATGATTCTATTAAAAACTGAACCGCCCTCTATGTGGTAAAGTGGCATAAATAATACTGCAATCTATATGGTAAAGCGGCATAAATAATACAACACGACAATAACTTGCTCCCATTGTTTTAGTTGCATAATATTATGAGGTAGGAAAGGAACAGTTATGAGTTGCAGTATGTCAACACCATGAACTTCAACAATTAGCTATATTGATGGCTAGATAGCTGAAAAGTTGCAATACAGTAAATAATTCGGAGTCTGTGCATCCAAGGGGTTAGAAGACAGGAGAATAAAATGTTTAATGAGGGTCATACTTAAACATAACCAAAAAATTCTAACAAAACCGTCAGGGACAGTTACGGATGTACCACTCTACTAAAGAAATGCCAGGTAGTACAGGGTAATGCGAGAGGAGTCATATCACAAAGTGCCTTGCCTAAAACACGACTAAGGAAGTTAAACGGGACGCAAAAGAATACCAGTAGCATTTTAAGCAGCTAACAGTTTTAAAAAAAAAAAAAAAAAAGTGGGAGACCTGCTTGAACACTACACACTATCAAGAAATTCTAATTACTACAAATTGCTGAAGCTATTGTTAATTATATTTTATACGCTACTGCCCTATGAAAAATATAACTTTATGGGAACCTCGTATTTGCTGTTCTGCTTGAGCAATACTGCAATTACCCCAGCTCAGTATCATCGATTTAGCCCAACAAAAAGTTGAACTCTTTCTCTTGCACTACGAAATAAATGACAGTACTGAGATTAATTATTAGAATTGCAGGTGATTTCTAGAAGTTAACTGCAAGAGATGACACCTTTACTTTACTGTTATTAGAGCTCCTGTCCATGTTCTGAAATACTTAGCAGTCAAGTCTTATTGGGTGGTATAATGTAAACAGCATCACGACTGGTCATATCTC